ATATATATATATATATATATATTTTAACTTTAAAGGATAAAAATATTATTTAAAAAACTTATCTTCAGTGACCTTTTGATCTTAGCTTAAAATACTCTAACTCATTTAGTTTTTAGTAGTTTTACCATGTCTCATTACATGTGAAATTCATTTTTATATGTTCATAAATTGATTGTAACAATAGTTAAACCAAAATATTTTACATGATAGGACATCATGATGTAGTACTTTTTTTTTTTTATAAATTCTTGTCATAGTAAAATGTGTATTACACTTGGGTTTAGATGTATTATTTTTAGATGTTGGGTTGATATTGAATCTATAGTTCTATTACATATATAAATTGTTTATGAAAATAGATCATTTATTATATTAGACCTCCATACAACAATTTTGTTAGATTCATAAGGTGCGTTTGATTTGACTAAAACTTTTGGCTTGGGGATATATTCCTAAACAGAGATGCAACATGAACCTGAAAAAAATGAGTTCAAATTTATATTAAAATATTTTGTAATTACGTAAGTTGAATAATCGTACATATGGAAAATAGGAAATAAAGTTGAAATGATATAATTACAACAACAATTAACAAATACCATAGTATGAAAATCTTCAAAATACATCAAGAAATAAATTTTTATGAAGTTTAAATACAAAATAAATATAAAACAATTTGAAGAGATTAATAAATCGGTTTAATTACAAAGTATCATGCATAAATTAAATTTATAAACTTTGATTCAGTTACGAGGAAGCAATTTTTGACCTGTCAAGAAATAAAAGAAAGAAAAAGTACGTACATATGTTGAAAAATTCTCAAAATTGCTAAAACGGGAGAAGACATTCACAAGCTTTAATTACATATTCATCTATCAATTGCAGTCCAAAATATAATCGCATTAAGGAAATTCATACTAGTCATAACACCTGAACTCCCCACACATTTATTTGCATAAATTAACAATTAAATAAATAGAAACATTACCATAAACCCCAATACAAATAGGTCATATAATTCACTCATTGATCTAAAAACTATGTAAACCATATGGCGAGTTCACATTCACTCAAGAACTCATAGCCTATGTTTGGTTCATATTTATAAACTATTTATAGACACTCAAATCATTTTTTATCCATATATTTTAAGAAATCTATACTATTCACTTATTTATCACTCATTTGTATATATTTTTAATTTAAACCATTTGTAACTACTTTCCAAACATGCTATTGATCATTCAGTCACTTATTTGGAATACAATCGGCCAAAAAAATGATTTTCACCTAATGCATTTTTAACGTATTATAGATAGGATTGCCACCACATTTTTCTTTTGTTCCACCATTTTTTTAATTAGAGTATATATTAAATGTCCTCAATTTTCGCTCGTTGTCTCACTTACATCGACGAGTTTTTTTTATTGTCTTATTAACTTCAGCCTCCTTTAATTATCATATATTGCATCTGATTATGATTTTTGTCCAAAAAGTTCTTTAGAAAGACATTAAAGACTTATTTTGCTCTTCATATTTTTGAATAAGGAAAAAAAGTAAATTCAAAATTTGGCAGAATATTGCCCTTCATTTTATGGCAAGATAATAGAATATTTAGACAAAAATCTTAATGAGGGATCAAATTGCTAATTGATGGAGACTAAGAATACGAATGCGAAAAAACAAAAGTGGAGATATAAATGTGACAATAACCAAATACGACAACCTTTTGTGCATTTATACAAAAATGATACTTATATGTAATGTAATAAATTGGATACAATTTCCCAAACCGCTCAACTCAACTAATTAACCCAATTCAAACAAATTGATTTGGGTTGATTTTTAAGTTCAAATATATCGGGTTGAAAAACTAAATTTGAGGTTGGATTGGATAGGGTGGGGTTGGGTCTCAGGTTGCGAGTTAAAATCCAACCCATCCCATTGAATTAAAATGACTAAAAATAAAAAAATAAAAAATAGACACAATAGTGAAAATAAGAGAAAGACTTATAATTTATAAACGTCCATTTTCTTCGCAAAGACTAATTAACATGAACATTATGTATAAATGCAATGTTATTTGATGCTAAAGTAAAAATTATGGAGATGATGGTGAAATGAACTAATCCCAAAAATTGTAAAAAGAAAATGCTTCATAATTTTAAACTTATTTACACATTATTTTTCAGAAAGAATTTCTTATACACGTGTTAAAAAACGGAGGTTTTCAAGTAATTTCAAACTCTAAAAATTATCAAAATTAAAAAAAAAAAAAAAAACAGGGATTCAACTTTAATTGTGACGAAGCTCCAACCAACTGACACAACCCAAACCGAATAATTGGGTTGGATTGAATTTTGGATGGAAAAAAAAAAAAGGGATCCAACCCAATCTATACCCACCCCTAACTATCAGTACGAAATTCTAATCAATTGAGTTGGCCAAACTTATTGTTCCATATGCTCACAAAGTCTAGTCAACAGAGCAAAGAAAAGTGCTTATTCTTTCTGTTCTAAGAAGGACGAAAATCCTAGCAAATTGAATTAGTGAATTCTTTCTTCTTTTCTAGTCATTTGTTGATTTAAATTTACCAAAGAGCAGATTAGTATATATTATTTTACGTGGTTATGGCTTAATTACCATACCCATTTTGTAGTTTAGAAAATTGCTTTTTATAACGTATAAAGTTCTAGAAAACTATTGTCTCATTGCTTCTGAGGAAGTTTCAATTGACTATGTGTGATAATCTAGAAAAATATTATGGATTTATTGTTGAAAAAGCATAATTTTATATAAGAATATTATATTATTGCTAACGAAGAGTCATAAATTTTATACATCAATATTCTTGAAGAACATTATGTTGTTATTAGACAAACTCATTTTTATTTATACTTATATATTAAATATAAGAATACACTATATTGATTTCTAAAGAAGCATAAAGTATTATGTATCAATATTCTAGATAAATATTATGTTGTTACACTTAAAAACGTACGACAATATATTAGAAAACTATTGTGATTGTTGTTCTTGAAAAAACATTTTTAAAATTTTTTGAACTCATTGTTATTTTGGAAGAAACTCAATTAATTTCATTTTCCTGGTACCAATACCATATTGTTTTCTTAGAATATCAATGCCTGGTTTCAAATGTCTGCAATTTCTTCCTCGTCGCGTCTCAACATAAGAAAAAACCAAAGAAAAATGAAAAATGGGGAAAGCGATACAATCCGAATCCGATGTGACTTATTGTAATGGATATGTGCATCGATTGACTACTACAGAATTATAATAGCCTGACTTTGTTGTTTTAACTTTTATGGGTAAATACCAACATGTGGATCCCAAAGAATTATCTTTTCCTTTTTTCGCAGATTGCCTAATATATTAAACTTGTGCAGTTAATTTGAGAAAAAAAAAGGGAATAATTAAAATAAAGCTGCTTTGATAAAATATACCTTCTATATTGTAGACAAATTTAAATAATGATGGCTGCTTACTAAATGATTCTTAGTATTAATGAACAAGCATGGGTTTGAGATGCCAATGCATTTCGAGTTCAGTACCACTTGAAGTAGGTGGACTGTGTGATATTGAATTCAAGTTTGTAATTTATTGGTTTTGTTTAAGTTTGTAATTTTGGTCTTCTGTGTTTTAGTTCATATATTTGGTCCTTGAATATGGGATATTTTAGTTGTGTTCAAGTCGACATTATTAATTCAAGTTTAGACACGTTTGAACACGTGAAGTTTGGATTCGCGTCAAAGTTGTAATTGTTTTTAAGCCCTGTGTTACTGCCAGAAGCAGAAAAATATACTTATGCAACAATATACTTTATTTTCTATATTTGATAAATTAAATAATTTTATACAAGTGCCTATTTCATTATTGAGCCAAGTTATATTCATTAATAAAACAAATTTTATTGACATGTTAGAGTTATTTCAACCACGTAAATATTTGTACAACCATGTAAATATTTGTACATGTTGGATTTGGGGCTTGATGCTTCGCTATTCATTGGGCTCTAG